ACTTTAAAAATCAAATAAAAACAGAAAAATACTACTAAATTCTAGGTAAACACTTTACTTGCTGGCCTCTTTGTTGTTATTGTTGGAAACCATAATTAACAAATCTTAGAAAAATCTTAAAGACGTGCTTGCACCAAGCTGAACATTTCTCTTTAAGTAACCAGAAGATCTTTAAAAAGAACAGAAGAGGGGATTGCTTTTCTGCTAGGTAATTCATCGTACTTTAATGATCATGTAGAAGTAAAAAGTCATCTGTTATATGATGAATTTGAGTTTCACAGTTAGACAATCATTAGATGTTAGGCAGGAGTGACTTGAGCAAAGATAAAGAGATGTGAGAAAGTTTGGGTTAGAATCCACAGAGGTTAGAAATTCCTAAGGTGGTAGTTCTAAACCTTGGTTGTACGTTCATCACTTTGAGAGTTTAAGACTCAGACCAAATGAGTTAGAATACAAACCTAGATTGGAGTGTCTACATCTTTAAAAGTTCTCCAGGTTGTTCCAATACTAGGGAAAGGTAGAAAACCTCTACCATAGGATGTCTGTATGGGAATTTGATGGTGGTGGTGATAATGTAGATGGCCAGGCAGGAGAAAGCCCAGATGTAGTAGTAATGTCTGCCCTGAATGTGAATAGGTGGAGTGGTAAAAATACCATTAGCCATCTTTGGGCTAGAATATGAATTGCCTGTCAAGGCAGGTGGATATTATCTTGAAGAGCTGACAGAGTGCTGACTCTCCTTTCCATGAAGAATAAATTCCGTGAATTTTCTGCCTCAGATGCTCTTTTGGTTTAAAAGCCTTATGATCTTTTCTTACAATTAAAGGCATTAAATGCATATTTATAGAACATACTTTATGATAGCATAGTTAGTAGTTCCAGAGAAGATTTTCATAACTTCTTTAAGCAGCAACATTTCAAAATATAGGCAATCCAAATTTGCATGTATAAACAGAATGCACGAGAGAAACATCTGAATGTGAGTCAATTTCCTTAATTATTTATCCATTGTTTTGACACACTCCTAAAACCCACTTACAACAAGACGTCGTTCCTGTGGCTAACAAACTTGTAGCCTGCCATACTGTGGTGATGAAGACTTCATTCGGGAAACCAAAGCACAGGGAGCGCTCAGAATGTAAATCTTCCAACTTGCTTAGTAGAAGCGAGGAACTGAGGAAAGGAGAACTTCAAATCTTGCTTAATTTAAGAGGGGCCGTAAGAGAGAGAGCCTTCGACGACTATTTCATAAAAATATAGTCGAGGAACTCACGAGGATGCAAGTGGGAGAAAAGGGCATCTTTGGGGGAAGAGACATTTGCAGCCCAGCAGGACGGTTTCTGGTGTCTCCCACCGCCCCTCCTCCCAGGAGCCCCCACTCTCCGCCCCTGGCCCTCCCTCGGCTTCAGCGCTTGGCGGGTAGACTGGGTGGGCGGGGTGGCCTCTCCTGACGCGCCTTCTTGGGCTCGGAGGCCGCGCAGAGCTTAGGGACGTTAACGTAGCGCCTTGGGACTTAAGAGGCTCACTGGGCAGCTGCGCCTTTTAGCGTCTCCTGCTCCCGCACGCGGTCGTCCCAACTCTGGGCGGGAAGGGCGCAAAACTTTTGTCCGTGCGTGGGTGGGGGGCGCAGCGGGACCACAGCCCGCCCTCACCGCCCCCCACTCCTTCTCCACAGACCCGCAGAGTTAGCTGAGGACAGCGCACTTTCTAGCTGCTACGCCTCTCCAGAAACTTCTCGGGAATGGAGCAGTCACCGAGTGGCAGCAGAGACCGCAGCGGTAGCGGCCGACCCCACCTGGCCCCTGGGCTGTTGGCTGCGGCCCCTCCGTCCCCGTCCCCGGCGTTGCCGGTACCTTCGGGGATGTCCATTCCTCCAGCTTTCCTGCGGCCTCCCAGCCTCTTCCTGAGAGCAGCCGCGGCCGCCGCTGCCGCTGCCGCAACGTCCGGCGGCGGAGGCTGCCCGCCGGCTCCCGGGCTGGACAGGGCAGTGGGCGCGGCGGGCTGCGGCTACCCGCGGACGCCCAAGTGTGCCCGCTGTCGCAACCACGGCGTGGTGTCGGCGCTCAAGGGCCACAAGCGCTTCTGCCGCTGGCGGGACTGCGCGTGTGCCAAGTGCACGCTGATCGCCGAGCGCCAGCGCGTCATGGCCGCCCAGGTGGCGCTGCGCAGGCAGCAGGCGCAGGAGGAGAGCGAAGCCCGGGGGCTGCAGAGGCTCCTGTGTGCTGGACTCCCCGGGCCCGGGGGTCCAGCCTCCGGCGGCTGCGGCAGAACTGAAAATCCCCAGGCCACGGGCGGCAGGGCGGCGGCGGCTGCGCCGGGACGGTGTGCCTTGCGTCAAGCTTGTGGTCTGGCGACCCCGGCTTTCGAGGTTTTCCCGCAAGAGTATCCTGGGGCAAAACAAGGTGAGTTGGTCCTTCATTTGCTCTTCGCACAAGAAAATGGTTGTTCTGAAGCGAAACATTTTGAAACAAGCAGCCGCACCCTCGAGGCGGGCAGGAAAAGTTTTTTTTATTTTTTTTTAATTTATTTTTATTTTTAAAGAAGCACTTATTTAAGTTCTGGGAAACTGTTCTGTAACATGGACGCTAATGGGGTGTTAGAGACCCATCACCTTCACTTTGGAAGGGCTCAGTGTTCCCTTAGGTGATAGGATAAGATAACGTAAAAGTAAAGCATGGGTGATCACAAATGAAAAACTCGCCTGGAGTTGTTTGCGCACAAGTTGATTTAACTTTTTCTCTGTGTGTGTAGAACTTCAAGCGAGCATGAACGAAAAGCTTAGTGAAGGTGCTGTGTTTTAGAATGATCTTGCCTAGAAACTCAATGACGGGTGGGAATGCAGTTCTTTACCTTTGGAGCAAACCTTTGGCGCCAGCTACAAGTTAGGGAAGAGAGTGAAATCTACCAAAGCCTATCTTTCCCCCCTCCTTTCCTTATAAATCTTTTCGTAAAATTTATTTTGTAATACCATTGATGAGAATTTCAGAGTTCAATGTTGGAGATTTCTTTTCCAAGGAGTTTTAGTTTTTCTCTTATTTGTTGACTGCAAAGCAATTAGCTATATAAAAAACTATCCCAAATTAACTGTTCTTACCAATGTAAATCTTACTGTATTTTAATGAATTTCATAGCCTTCCATAGGGCCTTCTAGCGGTGAAAATGTCATTTCAATATTTTTGTATAAGTCCAAGCCAGGTTGTACTATATGAAATTATATGATAATGATACAGTAAATTATTAACTATTATAGAAACCTTCCTTGAATTGTGAAAATTGCAGATCTTAACACTGCAGATGTACTTTTGAAAAAGACTAGCTTGCCTATGCCAACTTTTTGCATGCATTCTAGTTTATTTCAGTAGATGAAATAGACTTTAAAAGTTTCTCATGAAAGATCCAGGAGTGCTGAAGAGTAAAGTTTTAAGTAAAACTGCTATAAAAAAAGAGTAAAGTTTTAAGTAAACCTGCTATAAAATTGCTATAAAAGTTTTAAGTAAAACTGAGGATTCCTTAAACTACACCAATAATAAAATCTGGCTGACAGCTCCCTGCAAAACATTGGTTTATATGGTTTTTTTTGGTACTAAAGTGTTCTGTTTATATTATAGGGCTAATTATTTTATTTTATTCTTTGTTTCAGATAACCCTCTACAAAAAGCAAACCAATTTTCTAAAGGCTACTTCAATGGCTTTCTAAATTGAACTGCCTCCTTTTACAATAGCAATGAACTGTAGTAAGATAGTCTATTTACTTTACTCATTCATTAGACAAAGACTAACAGTGATTCAGAAGTGCATAAGATTTTCCTACACAAAAGAACCTTATATTAAAAATAAGACAGACTATATGTATCCAAAAACTACAATAGAAGGCATAATATACAATGATAAATGCAATAGAAGAAGTAAGACAAGCTATCAGAGTTGAGAGGATAGAGAGGATGTAAATGGTATATCACAATATTTTAAAGACACCTTATTTTCCAATACCTTATGCAATAGGTATTTCATTGCATATGTTGTATTACAGGTGCAATATAACAAGAAATTATTCCGTGCATAAATTGCTATACAGATGAAATTTCCATACTTTACATGTTCGGGGGGCATATTTAGTGAATCATATTTTTAAGTAAAATGTAATGGAGGATGAGTGGAAATCTATCTCCACTTGGCACGCTTCATTAGGAAAGTTTTATTGTATTATTTAAAGTTGAAAATACTACAGAGTCTTTGTAATTTTGCAGTAACAACATCCTTTCTTTCAACATATACTTGATATAGTGACATTTTGACCCTCAAAGTGCTAAATTGTGCGCACTTTGATTTTAAAATGAACTATAGATGTGTCTTTAGAAGTTAGGACTGGTTCTTAAGAAAACCAGAGGGAACATGAGAGTATTGCAAATCGTGGTGAAAATCAGTGCTTTAGGGAGTATTTGTCCAAAAAAAGTTAGACAGAAATACTCAGAATACCCCCACTTAACAATTTACCCTTACCTGTAGATATATAAAATGTATCTATAGGGTAAGAGGAAATGTAAACCAAAGTAAAAGTTATTTAGTGAATATGTGCATTATTGTTATTTTCCTGGTGTTAGCCTGGCAAAAGAGTTTTAAAATATTTTTGTTTTATTAATATGCTCAATGTGTTGGGATAGTAAAATATTTTTAGAAAATGCCCTAAATATTGGAGGGTGGGTATGATTTGAAGCAAATGCCTAATATGTTGTTTTTGAGATACTTTGATGATCCATACAGATTCTAATAGTGGAGTTTATAATTTTGTTTTGAAAACAATTTTGTTTTAAAATCTTTTCTTGATATTTCTTAGGGGCTATAAAAGAAAGTGCATCCTTCAAGGAGGATTTTGAAAAAATACGAAGTCTATATAATCTCTCACATAAAACAAAATATGTAAGCTCTAGTATGAATTGAGATTGATACAGCAGTAGTCATTACTGGTTTAAATTTGAAATGAAATTAACAATTTTGGTCGTTTTTTTACATTATTCAGGTAACTTAATTGGAACTTGAAATGTGAGCATAAAAAACCAATTGTTGAAATTTAACATTAGCGATTAAATAGAATATTCATTTCAAACTAAGATTATTCTTTTTTTAGATTATCTAAACCTAACCATTTTATTGAGTTATTTTTATATAGTGTCATTGTGAAAAAATATCACTTAGATAACAAAAACTTGGGTGACATTTAGGAAGATCCCAAACTGCCAAGATAGGACAAATAGTGTGCCATGTTGATGTTTCTTAACATTAACACATTTGGGTATCAATTGACTCTCATCTTATAATTCCTAAGTACAACTCCATTTAAATATTGTATATCTTTGTGATTCTGAAATGACATAAGAAATAGCGTTTTCTCACTATTCTAGCACCTGCATTTCTGAATGATCTTTTAAATTTGAGTTATTCATTAAAATGTCTTAGAATGTATAAATATTACTATTATGAGCGAAAGAATTATTTTATCCAGCATTATTTTTACATGAGCAGTACTATGTTCTGGGAAATATTCCCTATATTTGATTCTTTTTTTCCCCCTCTCTTCTTCAGGACAAAAAGAGAGGAAATGTGAGTCATGCCAGAGTGGACAAGAAGAACTGATTTCCAAATCCCATCAACCTTCCCTGGAATCATCTCCTAGGTCTAATGGTGTCATTGGGAAACAAAGCATAAAGTCATCTATTTCAGAATATTCAAATAAGCAGGATAGCATCCTATCTCCTTACCCTGGGGAGCAATCAGGAGGTGAAGAGAGTCCCAGGTCCTTATCATCCTCTGATCTGGAATCAGGAAATGAAAGTGAGTGTGCCAAAGACTTTACTGCTACCAGAACGAGCCTTCCCACAGTGTCCTCAAGACCAAGAGATCCTCTAGATATCCTTACTAAGATTTTTCCAAGTTACAGGCGCAGCCGGCTAGAAGGCATTCTACAGTTCTGCAAAGGGGATGTGGTCCAAGCCATTGAACAGATTTTGAATGGGAAAGAACACAAGCCAGACACCAGGAACCTAGCAAGCTCAGGAGAACTGGAAAATACAGCCTTTCAGAGAGCTTCAAATTTTAGTTTAGCTGGAATTAGTTTTGGAACTCTAGGTAATAAATCAGCTTTCTCTCCTCTTCAGACCACTTCTGCTTCTTATGGAGGTGATTCAAGTCTCTACAGCTTAAATCCTAGACTAGGTATCAGTCCATTACGACTGACATACTCTTCTCCAAGAAGAGGGCTATCTGGTTTTATGTCACCCTATCTAACGCCTGGGTTGGTACCTGCCTTGCCTTTTCGGCCAGCTTTGGATTATGCCTTCTCAGGGATGATTAGGGATTCTTCCTACCTTCCCAGTAAAGATGCGATAACTGGTGGTAGACTGTATTCCAGACTGAATCAGGACAATCTGTAATGTATCTGCCCATTTTCCCTTTCTGGAGTATTTCTATAATCATGCAACACACACACACACACACACACACACACACACACACATACACACCTATTAATGTATTTCCATATGTATATAAGTGGATTACCAGGACTTAAAAATGCTATTTTTTTAGAGGCAATATAATAGACTTTAGATCTGAAGACACTTCTTTAGCAATGATTAAATGAAAGAAGCATTTGAACATTGTATAATACGTGCCTTGAATAAAGCTACTTCAGGAAATACTTTTGCTTGAATGAATTTTTTCTCTAACTTATCATTTTAAAAATGCCTATTTTAAAAAAGTATACTTTAAAAAAGTATACTTGTTTCTATTTTATTGAAAAGTGGGGCTTATTGTTATAAAATATACCTGTGAGCGTAAAGCAAAATGAACCAAAAGGAAGAATTGAATAATTGAGGTAATTCTAAGTAATTACTATTTTAAAACTTTTTCTTCTATTTTGTTCCTTGTTCACAGAAGAGAAAAAAGTTATTCAAATTTTATTTAAAGATAAGTGATTAGTAATAAGTGAAACTTTTGAGAGTTTTTTATTTTTTATGAATGTCTTATTTTTCATTCGTACCTGCCATTTATGAAAACAAGTGTCATTAAATAACATTCTCTTTAAAGATAACGTTATTTACACAAAGGCCTGTAAAGTAAATCTTAGGAAATGAAACTTCGCCATCTTCTGGTCACTATCACTAATTGCAACTCAGTTCTACAGGGTACGTGAATTAGAAATGCAATGTTTCCTAGTAGTATAAGCTAACCATTCTTTGAAATAATCACTTTGGATCATGCTGCATTAAAATTTTCATATTGAAAAGTGCACATATACTGTGGATGAAAATTTTAATCTTTAAGTGTGCTTTCCCCTGTACCTGGGGAAATATCCCTATCCATATATGTTTGGGACAGGAATATGGCAGCCATTCTCAAAGGTAAAAATAATTGTATTCAGAAAACTAAAACAATTGCTCGCATAAATATTGACTGAATCTAGACAGATAATGCTGAATGCATTGAGGAGAGATACAAGATTTCCAAAGGGGAAAAACTGCCATTAAATTTTAGAGGTATTCTTGAGATTTTAAAAATACTTTTTGTTTTCCATCTGGAGCATTTGAAAGCTATTTATTTTAGTCAGTGGAAAGTTCCTGAGGAAACTGCTTACAAATAAGTTTATGAAATTTTCTTTATATGCTATTATTTTATTTTATTTTATTTTTATTTCAGGATATTGTGAGGGTACAAACATTATGGTTACACTTTATGTCTTTGCCTCACCCAAGCAAGGGTTAGAGTATGCCATCATTTTTTTGAAGGAAAGTTGCTTCATTGTTATTGTTAGGAATAAATGGAAACCCAACTGTGGTAAAAGACAGTTGACAAATTAGAGATGGTTTAAACAATTTGAGCAGCATGACTCACTAAATATTTCTTTAATTATTATTACTTTTAGAAGGATTTCTTTAATTATATATATGTACTTGTGTGTGTATATATCTGCATATCTATAAGTATCTATGTAGACATAGGCTAAAGCCCTATTGGTTCTATTATCATGAAGGCTTTTCTATGAAGCCATTAAAAATATATTTCCAAAGCATATTTTACCAGAAAATGCCATATTAAATTACTGCAGAATAATTGATGTTGATTTAGGATGTAAACATGTTTAATAGATTATGGATTAATTTTAATGGCATGGATGTGAGAAACCAGATCTTGTAAAATTTTGACGCAGTCAGTATTCATTTATTACAAAAATGTTTCAGATTCTAAACCTAAATAGTACAATGCCTGGCAAGTAGTTGATATTCAATTAATATATACTCAGTAAGAAACCATTTTATATAATAGATCTCTTTGAGACTCTGATAAAATTGAAGAACTCTACAAAATGGCCTACAGATACACAATTTTGCATATAATTTCATGGGGTTCTTGTATCTCCTAAATGCTATTCAGGTTAAAATCCTTGGTGATTCTTAAGTTGTTTCTATTGCATTAATCTGTTTACTGAATGCTATTTTTCTGAAAAGTGTTAGATCCCATAGAGGATACCGAGTGTAAAATATTGTGCTCTAAAGTAAGTTACATTATACAATAGCGATCTCGTTTAAAACAAGAATTATAGAGTTGCTGGATTATTTATGTGATTTATATAACAATGTACATGTATCTGAGAAACTGAATTACTTTTGAACTGGAAAGAACATCCATTTGGGGCAGTATTCAAATTATTGAAGATAATTTTATGATCTTTTAAGTTAATTTACATGATGGCTTATACATTCCATACCCTTTATAATAATTTAAGGACTTAAATAATCTTATAGAATAGGTCATTGTCCAACCACTAAGTAGTGTGTGAGTAAACTGAGGCTCAGAAGTGGTGTCGTCCATCCCTAAGATTAACAGTATGGGTCATCTGGAGTGGAGTTACTGTACTGACTTCAGCAATTTCGGACGATAAGATCTGAGGAAGGATTCTTGTCTATTTTGTCCATTCTCAGCTTTGTACAGTGGTGTCTCACACATAAAGGTGCTCAAATAAAAGGTTTCCACTGACAGATTTAAATAAAAGACAGACAGAAAGAATTAGCTTAGGAATTCAGTCATTCAACATTTGTTTATTAAACACCTACTTTGTGCCATGCACTCTGCTAGACACAAGGGATAAAAGGATGATTAAAATAAAAGATCTCACCTCAAATTGTTCACAGTCTTTATTGTCATGTGTACAAAAGCAACCAACTATTTGACAATGTTGGTACATCAGTGAGTTCTTTGTAATCTTGACATTTATGCCCCTGGATGCTGCTTGAAGCCTGAACTCCTAAGCCACTAATTAGGGGTGGGTAGGAAAAGGGGTAAACATTTTAAGAGCTAGCACATGAAAAAATGAATTAGGTTTATTCCGTATAATGTAGAGGGCATAGAAGATAAAAATTTTATGGACAGAAAATTCAAAAGAACATAAAGAATGACTTTTTCCACAGTTTACAACTGTCCAAGAGTGAAATGGGCTACCTTGTGTGATAATGTAGCCTATACTCATTGAAAATACCAGGTAGAAAATACCAATCGGAGACATAATTGATGGACTTTTTCATTACTTCCTCAGTATTAATACTGAATAATTCATTAGCTAATTAGAAACATGATAAATATTTGTTAAATAAATGAATGAATGAATTTCAATTCTAAGTCCATGAGAATGAAAATACCCAACCATTATTTGTCAATAAAACACAGTGCAGTTTTGCTCATCAGAATTTTTCTTATGTGATAGCCTCCTGGGAGTAGGCAGACATGGAAGAGAGAGAACACAGTGCGTGATTTACAAGGGATTCAGATTGGTCGAGATTAATGTGAAATATATATATATATATATGCATGAGGAAAAAGAAGAGGGCTCAAAGAGAACATAGAAGGAGGGTATAAAGTACATACCAATATCTTCCTGGAAGGAGCACTTGCTTTGGACTTGAGGAGACCTAGTGTGGACTTATTAGCTGTATGACTTGGGCAGGTTACTTGAATTCTTTGGACATTGGTTTCTTCTCAGTAAAACAGGATAATAATAACTAACTTGTGAGATTCATAGAGATAAAAGATAGCTTAAATAAACTGCTGAGTACAGCAATGCTTATATACTGGATGCTAAATAAATCTCACTGTTAGTACTCTGTATTAAGACATCTTTGCCCCCTGGTGGCAATCCTTCAACAAGGAGCATTGTGATTGCATTTAATCCAGTTAATGAATGTGGAACCCAAAGGGCTGCCATCACCAGAGGAACATGCAGGCTTCGGTACAGACTTCCTGTTTGATTGCTCATTTCATAGGTGAGCCACACTTTCATAACATATTATTGTATATGCTACCTGGATTCTTTCAAGGGCTATCTGAAGAAAACAAACAGCATAACCACAGTTTTGTTTGCTACATTTGCCAGTCAGAATTTAGTCAGGAAAACAGAATCTCTGTCAGTATATGTGGAAATAAGGGACTTATAGAAATGTGAACTAACACAAGTAAAGGAGGAGCTGGGAAATGAAAGTCTGCAAGAGGGAAATTGCAGATCAGAGAAAGAGACATAAACTAATCTGCCGGAAGCACTGGCGTGGGTGAACAAGTGGGAACTTGCAGAAAATCCGTGAAGTCCAGCATGCCCAGTCACTCGAATATTCCCAGAGGAGAGGTTCCGAAGGGGGTCTGTGGGGAGCTAGTGTCTCTGTGTGGCTACTAGCTCTGTGGGTGTGCGAGTAAACAGCCGGTAGTGGGCCTGCACCACTGTGGGTCAGCGGGGTCTGCAGGCAGGAAGAAAAGTGGGATGTGGAGTAAGAAAAAGAGAGGACAGCCTGGAAATCACTGGGTATCTGATTCTGATGACTTCTGTCTCACTTCTACCTTACAAATCTCACCATAATTCCTTTTTGGGCCAAATCTCACTCTGAAGAATACAGGAAGGGGGATTTTGGGAAATGTATTAATAGTTCCTAGTCTTAGCCAAACTGACTTAGCCTGGTCCAGTACAGGTACTCCTTGCCAGCGTGGCTTTCATACTCACTTATATTCATCATATTTACTTTGGAATACGTGCAAAAACAAAGTCATTCTTTTATCTAAGGTGGTTGTTGTATCAACAATCCTCTGTATGATAAAAATGTGCTAACCCTCTCCCCAAAAGAGGACCCATAAAGTGATTTATCTATGTTTGGGTTTTGCTCATTCCTTTTACCTAGTCAAATTGTCCTTTGAATATCATATCACTTTAATCCTGAGATACAGGTAACCACTATTAATAACTGGTTTTTATGGTAGGGAATTAGGAAAAGGGGAAACACGTGCACAGACACACACACACACACACACACAAATATATATACTTACTTTGAAGCAAGGAAGAAATAAATGTTTCTATTTACTAGTGCTCTCATGTTTGGTCATGGGACCATAACTT